TTATTATAGTTAATAAATGAATTTAGCAGCGTTTCATGATACAAGATTAAGGCATAAAAATCAGTTGTTTTATACACCAGCAATGAAAAATACAAAAAGAAATTAAGAAAACAATTCCATTTACAATAGCAGCCAAAAGAATAAAATATTTAGGAATAAATGTAACCAAGTAGGCAAAGAAACCTGCACACAGAAAACCACAGAACATTGCTGAAATGAAGAACTAACAAACGGACCTCACTCTCCTCTATCCCTCCAATCTCTTGTCAGTGCCTGTATTTGCAGAACTGGCAGCCAATGAGCAAAAGAATACACTGTTACAGTTTACACAGAACGCTTCACGGAGTTCTGGGTGGGATGGGCAGAGATGGAGAGTGAATCTGGAGAGCAAATGGAAGATATTTAGCATATGTAATAATTCTAGTGTCTGATGTCTTTGTGGGTGCATATCCATGGCATGTTTTTTTTTTTTTATCAACTTATACTCATGATGCCTTCTTTCCTTGTGTGTTTTGTTTTGTTTTGTTTTTATCATGAGCTTATAGTCCTTGAAATTTTATCTGTAGGAATTTTTTGAAGCCTGGATTGAAGTTATATTTCTCCATAGAAATTTGTGTTTCTTCTGAGAGCCTTGTGGCTTTACCAGCCAGGGATATTTTATGCCAAATTTTTGACTTGAGCTGTTTCAGACTACCCAGTTTGCATGAATTCAGGCTTTAGACCTCCATGAGGGCCATGGTTTTGGTTCTATATTCTCAAAAGAGCCTTTCTCTGCTCCATGAAGGCAATTTTACTTGCAATGCCCTAGAAGGTGGGTTTATTTCTGGTTCAGTCCTACATTGAGGACATAGGACTGTGGGGTCTGGAGCAGACATATCTGATGATCCTTGCCCTATCCCTTCTGGTCATATCCATCTCTGGTCTTAACCTCAGTTGTGGTGGAAGGTTCTGCGTCTCAGCTCTGATTTTAGCCACAGTTCTGGTGGATAGTTCCTAGCGAGCTCACACACAACTGTACGGACTGCATCCCATTTCAAATGCACACATCCACCTTCCTGCATCTGCTCCAAGACCTTTGCCAAAGGTAAGGAATCTGGTTGGCTTACATGGCAGGACAGCCCACAAGTGAGGAGGGAGTTGACACCCTGGAAGACAATCCTTAACCAATAGAAGAAACTGGTGGATACATGTTTCAGACTCTTGTCCTTCAGGTGACCCGTGCTGGCAGGTATTCTGTCTGCTTCTCAAGATGCCCCTGCAGAATCTGTACACTTAACCTCACATTCTCTCCTCATATGGCTCCCCGATTTTCCTTTTTAGTCCTTCTCAGTCTCTCCTAATTTCTGCAGTCACCTCCTGAATGAACTGCCTGCATCCATGTTCTCATTGTAGGTTTTGATTTTTTAGGGAACCTAGATGAAGACAGGATCTCCCCACTTTATGCTTTTGCCAAAACAAGATTTTTTTCTTCGTTTTCTTACCGCTTCTTCTTTTTTCCTGCTACAAGCTTGTAAGGTGTCTCAGATGGAATGAAGATGACAGTTCTGGCATTTTCCAAATTTCACATTCATCCTATAGCATCCTTAATAGATAACATTTATTCATTGGACTGTTAACACCGAACTAGTCCAATTTTTGCAGCCATCATATATTTAAGGAAAGTTAGAACTGAAAAGTTCATGAACATAGTTATAGTTTCTTCTCAAAAATGGTAGATGAGACAAAACAGTAAGTCAAGAGAACAGGTAAGGTGGAAAAGTGCTGGAATTTTACAATCACAGACACCTTGATTCCAAGAGCCACTGTGAGGGCAGTCATAGCGGGCAGAGCCCGATGCTGTCACCAGAGGGCAGCAGAGGCAAGGGACCAGGTGGAGAAGGCAAGACCAAATAATGTAACCAGCCAGAGATCTGATAGAGGCAAGACTAACATTTACTGGGGCCTGTTACAAGTTGGGCATTGTACTGGCACAATAAGAAGTAGTACAAAGTTCAAAGGCAGAGATAGGAGGCCAGAGCCAATGGAAAAGTGGAACAAAGTCCAGTTAAGAGGGCAGTTCTTCAGGTCAACCAGGAAATGCCCAAAGACAGCATGTGTGGAAGTACAATGCCAGAAATAAATAGAATGGCTAAGGACCCATCTTCTGCCAGGGCAGCTGGACTGTTGCTACAGAACCAGGTAAGGTAAATTGTTAGGACCATTGAGAGTCACTCAACCTGCATATTTACTTTACACTGATCAGAATTTAAATGGCTTTTACCTGAGCAAACATGAAATACACATAACCGCATGCCATAAGTTCCAGGCTTTCCCCTATGCTAGATGTGTTGGTATTTTGATAATGTCCCATGTTTGCTTTAGACTCTTACTTGTGTCTCTTGCACTGGATAAAATTCTCTGACTCTACCAGATGGTCACCAAGTACGGACTGCACCATGAGCACCAACTGGCTTGAGGTTAAGGGCTATGGCACTTCCTACATTCTTCTCTTCTGTAAGGTGGGGTTCACTCCCTCTTCCAAAGGCCTTGTGGAAATCCCTAACCCCCTGAGAAGTTACAGCAGGCACAGCAGGAAGCTCTGGGGGAACCCGTCCAGTGTTCACTCAGTGGACCTTTTCATTAATAAGTCGGTTTAGTTTTGTGGGTCTTTTCCTCCTAAATCTTCTCATTACCATGCTACAAACTTACTTAGATTTTGGCATTTCATATTAGTTCTTTTTCAATCCTTTTCAATGGTTTTTTTTTCCTCCAATTAATTTTTTTCTCAAACTTGCTCAATTTAAGACATTTCTCTGGTGGACCTGCATATTCACACCCGGTTGATCTCTTCCTTTGCTTCTTTTTGTTTCTTCCTTCTCCTTGGGTGCGATGCTCCGTGATCAGATTTCCAGTGCCAGCTAGGAAGTGGAGGTAGTGATCTCTGCCGTGTGAATGGCCCAATTCCAGTGATAGATTCCAGAAGCTTCAGCGATGGGTCGTTCAGACAGATGGCACTTATCTTCAGGCTAGGAGCTGCAGGGATAAAGCCACCATGTGGCTGCCAGAGCAAGGAGAGGCAGCAGAGGTGGGGACTACCCCACGTGGGCCAGAAGCTCTCCAATGTTAGTTCACTTCTGCTGCTGCTTCTGAGTCTGCCCCTGTGTCTGCTTCCGCTTCCGCTTCTGTATCCTTGGGCGGGCAAATCCAGAGCCCACCTCTGCCAGGCTGACTGAATTAAACCCTGAACGTCGAAGACTTGAATCTGTATTTTGACAGGTTCTTCGGGTGGTTCCTCTGGTGTAGTGGCTGAGGAGACATCCTGAGAAACTGATTCACCAAGACTGAGCTGGCCTGAAGTTCTAGTTCCCACTATGGGTATTTGTTGCTAGAACCTTCCTTCTCTGTTTTAGGAAAGGCAACTGGAATCTCAGGTGGGGTCTGATCGATTTCCCAGTGGTGTACCAAGGCAGTTGATGGAAGTGACACTCTCTACCCTCCACGTGCAGGCAGTGAGGGGAGATGCTATCTGCAGAGAATTTTAAAACAGTCATAAAACCATGTAAGAAAATGAGAGTTGGTCAGCTTTTTATCATCGCCATGCCCCAGCAAGTCTATGCAACCTGGTCAGTGATAAATACTTCTCCCTGCCGGACCGACCACCCCCACCTCCTACCCTACGATGAAATCCGGTGAGTCAAATCAATAAGTAGCAATTAATCTTTGTTGGTTTCTTTTTCAATGTTTTTATTTTTCAAAATATACAATTTATTTACACCTTTATTTCACAACTGTAGTTTGTATATTTATTCCAAAATCTTTAAATAACTCCACAGTAAACAGTACAAATCACAGGATCGGTCAAACTGCTTCTCTTTAGCCTTTATGCTCATCGAGTTTTTTTTTTTTCTTTTAAGTTTCAAGTAGTAACGGTTTGTGGGTAAGAAGGGAACAAAAATAGGGCAGAATTTTTACATAAGTTCGACATGTAGGATTAGAAAGGGCGATCTGAGCAGCTACTTGGTCTGGGGCCAGACTAAGAGCGTTTATATAGTTTATAAATAAGACCCTCTTACAAGCAGCGAGGGTTTTGGTTATAAGGAAAAAGGGGCTGGAACCTCATCTGCTGAGGGGTGCACAGAAGCAAAGGGGGAGGGAGGTAAGGCACCACATAAAGGCTCCTTCTTGGCTTGAGGAGGCACTGGCTGGAAGGATCCTGAGTGAGGGGGCCCACCTGTGCCAGGTAGAGGTCAAGAATGGCTGGGGATAGGGTAGGGCCTCCGCCCTTGGAGAGGCCTCTTTAGCCTCTGTTGGAGAAAAGCTTTGAGATCCTGGAGGCAGGGAAGAGATGGCTAGAGCAGCTGGTGGCTCCTAAAAGGGCCTGGGCTCCCACCAGCCTCGAGGCTGCTGCCAGCTCCCCGTGGCCCACCTGCACAGGCAGGTGAGGGCCAGGCTTGTGGGGGCTGGATGTGTCTCAGCCGGAGGCATCTGGCGGCAGAGCTGGCATTTGTGATTGGCAGTGGACAAAGGCACTGCCCTGGGATCACGGGTGGCCTGTGGGAGGCATCATGCTGTCTCTTCTTGTGAGAGCCCTTCATTCACCTCAGTGTTCTCCACTCATCAGGAGAAGAGCCAGGGCCATCGAATCGACCCCAGGAAGAGAAGGTGGGGAAGACTAGGGCCAGAGGCCCCACAGACCCTCCTCCTGCTGTGAACAATGGCAGCTCTATAGTAGGGGGGCGGCCCCCAGGGAGCCCAAGATGCTAAGACACAGGTGGGACACGGGCCTGTCAGGGAGTCACAGGGGTCCGCTTCCTTCATTCCCCTTGGGGTTGATATCGTTGGCCAGGTCCTAAAGCAGTCCTGTGGGCTAAGGCTCTGGGCAGGGATGCTGCAGGAAAGAGCTAGTCCCTGAGGACCATTTGGCCACCAAGGGGACGTGACCCCCCTGGAGTGAATCAGGAGGCCAGTCTCAGTTTTCAGGGTCCCCCCAGCACCTTCGCCAAGGCCAAGGGCCGGACGAAGCCCATCCTGCCTGGCCAAGCAAACCTTCTTCGCAGGGTCTGGATGGAGTGAGGGGGACAGCGGCAGGGCTGGGAGTTGTCACTGCATCTTCGGGTGGGGTTCTTCCGGCATAAGGGTGTGGAAAAAGTAATCCCAAAATTTAGTGCTGATGCCAAATCCTAGAGAGGGAGACGAATGGGGAGAAGATGAGGCACTGTAGAAGTTGGTGGGAAAATCTTCTAAGGAGGGGGGCCAGGGTAGGGCTGGCGCTCAGGAAGATTTTAACATGTCCCCGCTGGCCTTCCCAATTCTCGGGGCCATCCTGACAGAAGTCAGGAGCAGAGTACCTGTGCTTCTAGTCTCCCAATGATGCCATGGGAATAAGGCCAAATTCCTTACGTGGCCTGACTTGCTGGGAGAGCCGGGCCCCAGCCTGCCTCTGCCTCCCCGTCTCTCAAACTTCAGCTCCTTCTTTCTCCTTCGTGATGCCAAGTTTGTTCCTGCTTCAAAGTTTTGCACCTGATGCTCCTGAGATGCTCTTCCCCCAAACATCAGATGCTGGCTTCTCTTAAGTTAGGTCTCAGCTCTAATGACATCTCGCTGGACCACTTTGTCTAGCACTCTGCTTTCCAACATGATCACCACTAGCCCACGTGACTGCTGAGCACTGGAAATGTGGCTAGACCTACAGAGGGACTAAATTCTTAATTTCATTTAGTTTTAATGAACCTAAATTCCAATTTAAAAACTTACACTCGATTTGGTTACTGGAAAGCTTTTCAGCACATTCAGATCAACGCAGGTATGTGAATCTACATTTTTTACTATAAATTTTATAAACTCTAAATACAGATCAAATATTTCCTGTGAAAATTTAGCACCTGAATTGATATGTGCTGTAAGTGCAAAATGCACACTGGACATCAAAGAATTAATACAAGAAAAAGAATGTAAAATATCTCATTGACGATATTTTATATTAATTGTATGTTGAAATGATAATATTTTGGTTATACCGTCTTAACAAAATATACTATTCAAATTAATTTCACCCTTTTATTTTTACTTGCTAATGTGGCTAAAAGAAAATTTAAAAATCACATCTGTGACTTGCATATTTTATCAGACAGAGCTGGACTTCCCCCCTACCTTATATAGTTCCTCTAACATCATCTTGCTTTATTTTCCTTGTGGCGCTTATCGCTGTCTCAAATTCTTTGCTATTAATTGATTTCCTTGTTTGTCTTTCTCTGCATAGCCCTCCACCCCCTACACACACCACAGAGTAGGATGGGGGCCCCAGGTTTGCCTTGCTGCCTCTGTATCCCCAGTACCGAGAACAATGCCTGGCCCTTGGTAGGGGCTTAATGGTAGCTGTCCAATAAATAAACGAACGAACGAGAGAGGCTGGACGTGTTGGCCGGTCCTCACCTGACTTCTGATGTGCAAAGTGATGCTTGACGTGATGGGCCTTCATGTTGTACAGGTAGGAGCCTTTGTGAGGTGAGCCGAAGTGCAAGTAGTAATGGGTCATGTCGTAGAGGACGTAGCCCAGGAGGCCCCCAGAAAACACGGTGCCCCCCACTGCCTCGGGCAGGAGGAGCTGTAAGACTGCGTAGAAGAAGGCAATCACCAGAGAAGCTGGCGCCGGGGGGAAGACCAGGCGGGACTCATCGAAGGGTGCCTGTGGACGGAGAGGCTCAGTGTCAGAACGCAGCCTGGGGCCTGCCCATGGTCACAGCAGAGGCCTCTCCTCGGAGGATGAGGTCAGAGCAGCCCAGACATCCCAGTGGTGGGGGGCAGCGCCTGTCACGGGTAGGCTTGGCACTTCCCGGGGCTTCGGGGAAAGCAGGCTACCATGCCAGAAAGCCCTAGGGAGACGGTCCCACTCCCAAGCCAGGCTGGGACCTGAAACGCTGTCCACCAGCACTGAGGTGAGTGTGATGTGGGCACGATGCTCACGGGTCACAGTCCTGCTTTATGTTCAAGAGGCCACTTTGGCTCTGGAATTTGTCAGATGCTAGAGAGGAGCCCCACCACCGAACGCTAGGTGGCGCACTTAGACTGAGCCCTGATGTTGTCTGGGAGGGTGACGCATGGGCGAGCTGAAGTTAATGAGGCTTCACGTGGAGGGATGATGCATGGTGTTAACATGTTTTCCCGACCCTAACAGGAGCCCTTCTTTGTTCCCAGGTGTGTGGGGTGGGGGTGGGGGGGCGGGGGAGTGTGGTGTTATCACATAACCGCGAGAGACAGGCCTTAGGCTCTGGAGCTTCAAAAGCTAAAGGCCTGGCATAGAGGTAAGATTTTAGACTGCTTCGTGAGTATTCTAAGAGACAGACCCTCTCTGGGCTGGAAGAGAAGACAGAGAAAGAAGGCAGGCAATAGTCGTAGAGCGATATGCTGGCGAGGTCCTCCCTCCAGTCAGACCAGGAGCAACAGGAACGTGTGTGCCTGAGAACCAGCTCCTGGAAACAGAAGGAAGGAAGGATGGAGAGAGGGAGGGAAGGAGGGAGGGAGGGAGAGAGGTGAGAGGAATGCCTGGGACAGGCTGGGAACACCACAGGGTAAGGACAGGGAAATGCAGCTTCCTCGGGGCAGAGCTGGCTTCCAGTCCCAGGCACTGGGACCATCATGTTGCCCTCGAAGAGCCCCGGGGTGGAGGGTGGTTGAGAGCACCGACTCTGGAGTGCAAAGAATGGGGCGCAAGGTCCTGACTGTGCCGGGTGTGACCTTGGGCGAGTTCCTGAGTTTCCTAACTTCCCGAGCCTCAGTTTGCTGCTCTGGAATGGGGAGAACTGCAGCGCCATCTTCAGAAGGAAGCTCCACGAGGACAGTGGCTTTTGACTCTTCTGTTCAGTGGTATCTAGAACAGTGCCTGGCACAGAGTAAGCACCCGGGGAACATTTGTTGAATGAATGAATGAATGCATGAATGAATGCATGAATGAATGAACTAACGTAGAACAGTGCCTGGCACAGAGTAAGCACCCGGGGACATTTGTTGAATGAATGAATGAATACATGAATGAATGAATGAATGAATGAACTAACAAACGAATGAGCGAGGTGTTGTAGGATTAACGATGATACATACAATGTACCTGCAGAGTGCCTGGGGTTAATAAATGGCATATAGACACACGCGCTCACTCTGCCCACGCCAGGCCAGATCAGGACCCAGGCCTCCCTCTGAGCAACATCAAATGCACCGAGTTCCTCCTGTTGGTCACCTGACTCCCAGAAAGACTGGCAGGCAGCTCCTGTGAGCTGGTGACAGACGCAGGGCCCCGGAGGGAGCCTGCCCTGCTCACCTTGTGGTGCTGGCCGTGCAAGATGAAGTGCAGCGTGATGAGGTAATAGCTGTCGCTGGGGGGCTTCATGTGGAACAGGAAGCGGTGGATGAGGTACTCGATTAGGCTCCAGAGGAGCATTCCCAGAATGAAGAGGCCCGGGAACACAGACTCCGGCATGGCTACTGAGTACTCTGCGGGGCGGCAACAGAGAGAGGAGGTCAGGACAGACAGCCCCAGCGGGCGACAATGCCTGGTGGCTCCAGACATCCTATCCTGCCACCCCGTCACCTGGGGAGCTGCTGCCCTCTGTCCAGCAGCTATGGGACAAGGCCACACTACTGGGGCTCCTGGGTCAGAATGGGAAGGAGGCTGTGAAGATCTGTACTGGGCTTGGAGGGGTCCTTTAAGGGAACGATGGGGCCACAGGCCAGAGATCTGAGATCTGAGATCTTCCTTAGAGGGACTAAGAGCAGCAGCTGTGGCCCGCACTGGACCTTTGCCTGGTGTCATGGTCTGAATGTGTCCCTTCGAAATTTATACGTTGAAAGCTAACCCCCAAGGTGATGGTGTTAAGAGGTGGGGCCTTTGGGAGGTTAGTAGCACATGAGGGTGGGGCCCTCATGAATAGGATTAGTACCCTTATGAAAGAGGGCCCACAGAGCTCTCTTCCCCTTTCGGCCATGTGAGGATACAACACAAAGTCTGTGACCTGGAAGAGGGCCCTCACCTGACCGGGCTGTTACCCTGACCTTGGACTTCTGGGTTCCAGAACTGGGAGCAATGCATTTCCGTTGTTTATAAGCCACCCAGTCTGTGAAGTTTTGTTAACAGCCGTCCGAATGTGGCTCAGATCCCTGAGAAGGATGACCTTGCCTCGGTGGCATGGCGGGGAGGGAGGGATGATCCCAATAAAGTCAGTAGAGCTAGGGGGTCATCGATGAAAAATGTTAATGACCAGGGACACAGGGGGTTAGAAGGGACAGGAAAACCCAAGAAGAGAAATCTCAATGGTCGAGACTTGAAATCATAGCACACGAGGAAGACTAAAAAAACAAAACAACAAAACAAAACAAAACAAAACCGGATGATTGACCTGGAGACTGGAAGACCGGAGAGATGTAATTGTCATGCAGTGTGGGGTTCCCAACACTCAAGCCTGATGCTGGGCTGCAGGCCTTGAGGCTCTCATTCCTTTTATCTATCTCATTCATTTCTGATTTCATGGGGACTGGGCTCTTGTCCCTCTTTCCTCCATGTCTACCCTCACCCTCTTGGCTTTCCTTCTTTTCTCCACAAGCCAATGCTTTGGACACCCTCTCCCTCCCTTTTTAAAAATAACCGCTTTATTGAACTATAACTCACACGTCACACAATCCACTCACTTTAAGGACTCAAGTCAATGGTTTTTAATACATTCAGAGTCGTACAACCATCACCACAAGAAGAAACCCTGTATCTATCAGCAGTCGCTCTCCATTTTCTCCAACCTCTGCTATGGCCCAGCCCCTGGAAGCCACGAGTCTACTTTCCATCTAAGGATTTGCCAATCTGGACATTTCATATAAATGGAATCCTACAATATGCAGTCTTTTATGACTGGCTCCTTTTACTCATAAGATTTTCAAGGTTCCTCCATACTATAGCATGTCAGGATTTCATTCCTTTTTACGGCTGAATAATAGTCCATTGTATGGCTATACCGCAGTTGTTCATCCACTTATCATCTGATGAACATCTGTGTTGTTTCTACTTTTTAGCTATTATGAGCAATGCTGCTATGAACATTCATGGATAAATTTTTGTGTGGGCACACGTTTTCAGTTGTCTTGGGTAATGCCTAAGAGTAGAATCACTGAGTCATATCGTACCTATGTTTGACCTTTCAATGAACCACCAAGCTGTTTTCCAAAGATAGTCATTCTCTCTCGACCTTCACTCTCTCACTACCCCATGAACTCCCAGCCCTGGATCAGTACAAGAACTGCCTCTTCAGCCACCCCTAAGCTACTGAGCATGGAGGGAGAGTTGTATGGCCCTGGGTGTGGTGCCTCAACCTCAGCTAGATCCTTTTATGTCTCCAGGCTCAGGTCTCGTCCGGCCTGCCCTCAAACATCCCCCATCTCCTTCCACCCAGCCTCCTACTTCACGGAGAAAAGAGGCCTTGGGGAGTATGAGAGGGAGGGAGAGAACGGCTCCCAACACATGCTCCCTTCCACCTTGAACCACATTCAGACCCCCACCCTGGAACTTCCTTCTTGCTCCTCAGAAAAGAGGTGTGCCCCAGGCACTTGAGCACTGGATGATGGGGGTAATAATAATAATGATAGCAGACACGTATGGGTGAGCACCTACATGCTAGGCACTCTTCAAGTGTTTTACAGGGATTCACTCCAGCCTCACAAGGGAAGCCTCGTCATTGGCCACGTGAAAGAGGGTGTGGAAGTACCAACAACCTTTGTTACTTGGCCGGCTCACCCCGCTAGGCAGTGCTGAGCCCTCAGCCTCCTCCCTTCCCTCTGGGGATCTTTGACTTCTCCTTCTCCCCTGGCTCTTCTGCTTGTCTTTAAGACTGTCCTATAACAGACTCTGTCCCTTCATAGCCAAGCTCACTGAAAAGGAAAGCTAGACTCAAGTCTCCACTGCTTCTCATGCGCTCGTCAAGCCCCCAAAGCCTGTCTTCTGTGAAGAAGAACTTCAAAGGCCATTCAGGATGTATTTCTTGCCAGATCTAAGTCATTTTTTCAATTCATCTCTAACTTGGCTGTGGCATACGACATCAGTGATCACTTTCTTCTTGAATCCGCAATCACGCAGGTTCATGAACATCCAGAGGTGAGCTGTTGGATTCCACAGTGTGAACCCACTGAAATGATATCCCAAATGATCTATCTGTGTGCATTTTCTCGGGGGAGCGAGTCTACAACTTTTCAGATTCTCAAAGGATCTGGCTTGGGGCTTGAGAAATGGGGAGCAACTGCTCAGTGGGTACAGGGTTTCCTTATGGGGCGATGAAAATGCTTTGGAACTAGACAGAGACGGTGGTTCCGGAACACTGTAAATGTACTAAGTGCCACTGAATTGTTCATTTAAAATGGTTAATTTTATGTTATGTGAATTTCACCTCAATCAAAAAAAATCTCTCTCAGGTCAGTTTACTGCTCTGAATCCCCCATTACCTTATCGCCTCTGGCTCCAATGACTGCCTCGGCCTTCTAGGCCAACCCTGTGCACGCTGTGAAAGCCCTTCTAGGTGCCTCATTACCTTCAGGCAAAGCCCAAATCCCCGACAGGGCACTCGAGGTTCCCCAAGACCTGACCCCGCTGGCCACATCCCTGCCTTGTCTTCCTGTCACCATTGACTGGGGCCAAAGCAAATTCCTTCCAGCTCCTTAGACGTACCATGTTCGCCCTCCTCCCCCGCAGCCTTGATTTTGCTCACGTTTCCTTCCCTGGAATTCCCTCCCCGCCTGCCTTCCCTGTGGAGATTCAGCCCACGCGTCTCCTCCTGAGAGGAGCCTCGCAGGTGCGCAGATGTGCGTTGGAGGCTCGGGCGCTGCCTCCACATCACCCTTTACCGACCGCACTGAACTGTGGCTGCGCTTTGACTCATTCTTCCCCACTAGGTGATGAGCATTTTACGGGCAGAATGGGCCTTTCGTTTTAGGTCCCCAGGGCCTGGCACAGCAGGCGCTCAGACACTCGCTGGCAATTCCTGGGCAAACATTAGCCTCTGAAGGGCTGTGTGGGATCAGGTTTCATCCGTGCTGGACCAAGGGTGGAACCAGGCCCAGAGAGAGGCAGCTTCTGGTTCTGAGTAAGGAAGCACTTCTGCAGGGGCGTGCCCAGTGTGGATGACCGCAGGTGGCTGCTGAGGAAAGAACGTCCAGGAAGGCAGGGCAGGGAAGTGACTTTCCAGCTCTTTGGACCAGATCTGAGGCCCAGCCCCATTCTGATAAAATGGTTCCAAGTGACTCTGTGCAATGGGGAGATTTTTCATGCCTCGACTGGGAACTAACACGTGATGCAGCTAAGATTCGGTCCCCAACAGATCCATCTGTCTAAATAAGGTGTTAAGCTAGTCTGACATCTCTCATCGGTGGAGCCTGCTGTGTCCACATCTGGTATAACGTTCTTGCTTAACAACACTGCCTGCGAGTGGCCATTTGGACTTGGCTGGGCTGCTCAGGTTGGCCAGAGGCTCGGCTTCCAGGGAAGCCTTGATCCTCCAGGGTCCCACCAAACACATTCTGGTGAAGTGCGGAGAGCATGGGCTTTAGATTTGCAGACTTGGGTTCGAATCCTGGCTCTGCACCACCTACACGTTATCTCAACAGTGAAATATCCTACCCATCGTGAAGGACAGAGAGAATATAATACCTGATTATGTGATAAGTATATATATATATATATAAGAAGAACAACGTATTACATATTAATACTTATACTAATGTAATATCATATATAACAAGTAGCTACTATAATTTTTAAATATAATGAATCAAATTGTATCTAAGTTCTAACTCGCGATCCTACTTGTGCCCACCTTCTCTCGATTCTCCTTGGAGAGATCTGGAGGGTCCCTGGATCGGGGAGAGCTTCCCAGCTCCCTGGCCCCCACCCCAGAGTGCAGGAGCCCTTCCTTACTGCTTAGCTCTCTGTCAGCAGGGAAGGGACCGGTGGAGCATTCCTGGGCCCAGACTTTAATCTTGACCTTTGCTGGGGCTCCCATGTGCAATGCCGTTGGAGACCTGCATCCCCACCTAGGATCACTAGGTTTTGGCCTGGCACTCACTCTAACTGGCTCCCAGGCACTGCTCTGGGGGCCGTTCTGAATGAGCAGAACCTCTCTTGCTTTCCAAAACACTTTCATGCACACGTCTAGGAATTGCAGCCTTAAAGTGGTATCTACATTCAGCTTCCACTGCTTCTCGGCACCAGACTCTTCGGCATCGATTCCGGTTCACTCTTCGTTCGGCAGCTGTGCTGTGACTCTGCTCAGCCTCCCTATGCCTTGTCCTGTGGCAATTATTTTCTCTGCTGGGGGCCTGTGCCTTGCACGATGAGCTGGAGGATGAGGGAGGTATGTGGAGACATAACTCTCATACCACCACTGCTGGCCTCATGGTCACAGGCTTTACACTGGACCTTTATTAAACAGCACATCTCAGCTCTCTGCAGAGGCCTGCAGTTCTGACTGAGCCCTCCCTGCTGTGCAGAAGAGTCCCTCCTATAGGTCAAGTCTCCGCCCGCCCCCTCACCCCAGCATCACCCCTGTCGGACCATCCGCAGGACCTGGTACCGAGTGGCATCTCTAGAGGAATCCTGCAGAGGGACCTGGGCCAAAGCTCTGGCATCCCCCTTCCCCCTCCAGCCACCAGCCCTGGCTGCACTGCTACTGTTGGTGATTGTTAGGGAAGAGCCGGGCGGACAGTGGGCGATTCAGTGCACAGGCCTTCAGAGCAACAAGCCCTGTGCTGTGCCTGAACTATTTAGCGTGGGCTGAAAAGGGTAACCTTGGCTCGCAGGGCGTGCATGTTAACCCTTGGTGACCGGGAGCAGTTCTGGGCTCCCTGCAGCCTGTTCATCCCTCGCCATATCCTGGCCAGGTGGGAGAACTGAGGCTCCCGTTGCCATGGCTGTGGCCTCGCTCATCCAAACCATTCAGGCTCTCGACCTGCCACTCCCAGAAGAGGTGAGCAGGAGAGAAGCCTTGGAGGTGGGGAGGAGGAGCCTGCATCTGGCAGAGGAGTGGGGGGCTCCGAAAGTTCACGGTCAGGCACATTACACATGACCAGGAAAGGAAAGCCCGCCTGAGCTATAGCAGCATATCTTTCCTGCCTGTCCCCCTGCCTGGCCTCCACCTGAGCCATCCACCATGGCACAGCACCTCCCTGAGGCAGGCTATGCCAGGACAAACAGTCTACCTGGGCAGGTAGGCCCAAGATAGGTGGTAAGCTTGGGAGGCAGGCTGGAGGAAGTGACCACACCCAAACCCAAACCCAGGGCTGCCCTGAGACGCTCAGTCCCATAGGCTCTTTGAAAGTCACTCCGTGTCAGCCCTTCTCTCTGTCCCAGTCCCTTTAACTGGTGGTGGGGGGGTGGGGAAGAACCTGGCAGCCAGATCCTAGTCACGTGACCCTGAATCACTTGCTTGACTTCTCTGAGGCTCCATTTCCTCATCTCTAAAAGGACGTGATGATGGCACCTTTCTCACGGGCTGCTGGGAGGGCTTGCCACGTGGCAAGCGCTTAGTAGAGGTTAGTGGGGCTGTTACTCCGAGTCAGCGGTTCTGCTGCCTGAACCTTTGCCCAGGAGTTACCATAGGACACTCCCAGATCTCTCTGTCCCAGGCTCCAATTTGTGCCGTGTTCATGGACCATTCTGAGTTCAGCTCTTAGCTATGCCACCTGGTGAATGATTTCATTTAGTTTCTTGAGAATCCCAGGTCATATGTTTTCCAGTATTAGACTCAACGATAAGTCTCCTTTAGTGCTATGTCTCCTAACGAATAATTTCACTTAGTTTCTGCTAATGTGTTGCTGTTGTAATCCATTTGGGTTTGGGGGAGTCTGACAATGCTCTTCTTTGGAAGACTATTTCTACAGATAGGTCTCATTTAAAAATGTTTGTGATGTGGTTTGGGGTTCTCTGTTTTAAAAACTCAGGGCCACTGAGGTCTCCCACCTCCGGGAGCCACGGGAGCAAATCAGAAAGGAACCCACATTACCTGTCGTGAAGGTTGCGAAGAGTCGGACGTTGCCCTGGGCGAGGGTTCGGTAGTGGGACCAACCGAGGTACAGCATCAGAGGCATCCAAATGACAGGGACGCTGTACCTGCAGGAGGGCCAGCAGAGGAGAGAGAGACATGCCTGGAGGCTCAGCAGGGCCTAGCTTCCCGAGACATACCTCTCGACTAGAGGGGAGATGAGATGATACCAAACCGTGTATAAAAAGCATACGGAAACGTGGGGTCAAAGGGATACTGCTGGGGGTAGGGAGGAAGAAGCAAGAGAAAGGCTGTGAATCCATCTCTTCTCATCTCTGAGATGAATTACTGGCAGAAAAAAAAACTGTGTTTCTGCGGCTACGGACTCTAGCAGCTAGATGGATGCTGATCTCTTGTGGCAAAGGAGCTAATTGCAGGCAAAATTGTTTTTATGGACAGGACATTACAGGCTGAAAACCTTTCATAGGAATATGGAATAGAACAAGAAGAACATTTACAGTGGTTTCTGGCTACCTGTCGCTTTGTCACTCAGTCAACAGACAAACCAGGCATATAAGAATGAATTATGTCTACGGCACGTTCCACCGTCCCCGAGAGCTTACAGTATAGCTCTGGGCTGGCGTGGTGGGGCGGGGGCAAACCCAACTGCCCCTTCCGTTATTGTATCTGATGGGCTCCATTAGGAGAGAGGGACAGCTTAGTGCAGCACTCACCAGGCAGTCTTGGAGAGGGACTCGACGAAGTCTGAGTAGAAGAGGCGGATGGGCCTGGTCACCGGCTGATGGACCCACTCATCGTACTTCTCTCCCAAGTAGCCTACTTGCCACAGTAGAGGCTTCTGCCAGTCTACCAGGTCCTGCAAGAGACAAAGTTCATGGACACTCGAGAGTCACGCCTGCACACATTCATTCTCCCATCTCCTAGTTACAGCATCTCGGTCCCCATCCTCCGCCTCAGGTGGTCTGTATGGGGCTACCCACCTTCCCACCTGAGTGATCCAGGACTGACCAAACCACTGTTCTCAGCTCCTGGCCATAGAATTGGGATCCAGGACAGGCCCATGACCTAAGCTGGTGCAATAAGCCATCAGACAACCTCTCTTCCTGCTGGAGTTGCTAAGTTGGCAGGGTGTGACCTTGGAGTTGCCAGCAGAGCCTGCTTGAAGACTCGTTCAACACAGAGGATGGCCAAGGCAGGATCTAGGGACACCGAATCCAGGTAATGACACCTGAGCACCCAGATTCAGCTATGCCTGAAGCTTGCCTAGAACTCCTTAGGTGTAGGAGCCAATACATTCTGTATCAGGAATGAAATAGGCCTTTTCCCCTCCACCATGAGCTTTCTTTTGGTGTTGGCCTGGGCAATGCCTTCTTTCATCCATTCAATCATGCATTCAAAAATTCATTGGTTATTTCAGGTCTACATTTCCAGGTGCCAGGAAGAATAAACAGAAACATGAGAGGCCATCTTTGCTTTGCATGGCTTAGTGTTTAATGAGAGTTTCAGCTCTGGAATCAGGCCTGGGTACAGATCGTGGCTCCGTCACTTACTGTGCGACCTTGTGCAAATTACTTGATGTCTCTGAGCCTCAGTTTCCCCAGCTATGAAACGGAAGTCATAATAATGGTGACTGCATAAAGTGCTCAGCAAGATGCGACATGCCAGGCGAGGTGGTTTAGTGGTGTTTCAGGAGAGAAGGGAGGTAGTGTCAGGAAAGGAAAGGAGAGAAGGAGATGTTCAGGGAAGAAGGGCAGCGAAGCCTGGGAGAGTCAACGGTGATTCTCGAACCTGCCTTCCCCCATCCCTGGTTGGAAATTCATCCTTGTACAAGCCTCCCTGCCAAAGCTGGCTCAGTCCCAGCAGGTGTCCCAGCCCTGCCAGAGGTGAAACTAGCTCCACCATCACGGGCTTGGAACAGGCAGCAGGGGTGTAGGGGTCTCAGGCAAACAGGGAAGGGCGCTGGGCATTCTCTCTGTGCCTATGACCAAGAGGAAAGACCCCCAAAATGGTTGTGGTTCCTGTTATGTGAACTCGGCAGTTCCCAGGGTTCCCAGGTGCTGGCTACCTTCCTGCTTCCCGGCCTGGAAAATGACTCAGGTCGGCACGGAGCTACCTCATCCAGCACCAGTTAAACCAGGCAGTCATCCAAACCCCACCTAGTTGCTCCCTTCCCGGCTCCATTCATCCATGCCTCCTTGACTTTCTCCTTTGGGTATAGCAGGAAACAGATTCAATGGACACACCCACCGACACACTCACCACCACCACCACCACCACCACCACCACCAGGAAAAAGAACTGGAGGAACCAGCTAGTGGCTTGTGTTTACACCTTATCTTGTGCAGCCTTCAGCACCCCACCTCAGAAGCAGCCAGGCCAGGGTCATAGTGAGAGCTTGAGGCTTTGTCCCAGTTGCAACAGCATTGAGAACTAACACTCACAGAGCATTTACTATGTGCCAAGCATGGTTATAAACACTTTACATGAGTTAAACCATTTGATCCTCGCCATACCCCTAACTAGACAAGGACTATTATTATTATTGTCTTACAGATGGGACATCGAAGCAGAGTAACTTGCCCAAGTTTGCCCAGTTATGTCTTTTTGATTAATTGGCTTCTTTATCCTTGGGAAACAGCCAGCTTGGTCCCTGGTAATATTCCTTGTCATGAAGCCCACTTTGTCTGATTTGCCAGGGCCACGCCAGACTTTCTTACGCTTGGCATTTGTACGGTCTATTTTTTCCCATCCTTTTACTTTCAACCTGTATATACATTAACATTTAAAGTACATCTCTTGCAGACAGCATATAGTTAGGTTTTGCTTTTTTTTAAAATCTAGTCGGGCAATGTGTCTTTTAAATTGGAATGTTTTGTCCATTCACGTTTAATGATATGGTTGATCCACCACCTCGCCATTTGTTTTCTGTTTGTCTCCTCCGATCTTCCTTTCTTGTCTTGTTCGCATTAATCAAGTATTTCAAAATATTCTATATAATCTCCTCTATTGGTTCTTTAGCTATGCCCTTTTGTATTTTCCCCTGGTTGTTACTGCTGATAACTCATCACCATCTCTCAGATGAAACCCCTGCTTTTTATACATTCCACTTTTGCATGTTACACATGACACCCTGTGCCTGGTTTTCATTTGTACACTTAATTTGAATTATCTACTTTATATGATGAACGTTTCCAGTTACGGCACAGGGGTACGGCCAAGTGGGCCTCTCTCTGAACCTTGAAGTAGTTTAGGCAAATTTCTACCTACTGATCTTTGTTGCCCTTATTTCGTAAAGCGAATAGAAAACAGCGTAGGACTCATCAGCTTGATTCAGTTGAGACCCAGGAACAAATGTCTAGGTAAGTAGCAAGCATAAATTTAGGCCTGAATCTTATGCTCTATCGTGAAGGGGACCGAACAAAAGACAGAGCAGGTGTAGACTGTGAGAGCTAGACTGCTGAGGAGGTTTGTTTATAGGTGTGGTGGAACCAGACCCAGTGTCCCCCACCCCTCGAACACAGTGGTCTCGTTTGATGACCTGCTGCCCGTCTGATCTTCGCACATGACTTTGGTTCCTCCCTGGGTAGACTAGCAGGCACTAGACACCATAAAAATGGTGGACTTGCTGTCTAAGGCTGCCTGTGACCAGCTCAGTGGCCTTGGACGGCCTTGAGTCTGGGCTAGCCTCTAGTGCATTTCTGCGAGGTAGCCCTCCTTGGTGCCTAGGGAGGGCCACTTCACCCTTGGGACTGAAGCGCCACCCTGGGGGAATCCCAAGAAAGCTCACTGTCTTGCTGCAAACATCTCCCTCAGTCCTCGAAGCCCAAAACCTACACTTCCGCACTGGAGCCTCTGCCGACGCTTCTAGGGGGAAGTAAAGCTAGCCTTCCATGTTAATATAGAAATCCAGGCCTGCTGACCTCTTCCTCATTTTACAGATGAGGACACTGAGGCCCAGAGGGATTGAGTGATTCTCGTAATGGGGTTGGTTGGTCTTGGAGAGGGAGCCTCCATTCCCCCAGCTGTGGCATCCTCTACACGATCTCTCAGGAGCTGAGACATTCACTGTGTGTTCAACCTTGATTTAGATGGTATATGTACTTACAGGGTGTCTTTTCTCAATTCTCTCCCAGGCCTGATTACTGAAGGAGAAATTCTCAGCTGGGTACTCATATGTTCAACACCTCCCACTTGCTCGTCATTTCCAATATGGCAGCTAGCTTGAGAAGGGAGGATGGCAAGAGATGACAGATGACAAGAGATGACAGCTTCGGATTCAGGGAGGGACCCATGATAAATTTCACTTCCTACTGTACCTGGCGGAGGACACTTTGGCTAACCCTCCCACGCAAATGGCTCTCCTCCTCCTGAGCTGGTGCCTGGTCCTATCCCCCAGCCACCACTACTTCCTAAGGCTTGGGGGACACAGGGAAGGTATCATCAAAGGTCTGCCAGCCTCTGTAGGAGGGAAAGGAGGGAAGAACATGCCACTGATCATACTTCTAGTTCCCAGGCATCTGGGGTCTTCCATAGCAATCCTCACAACAGCAAAACTTCTTTTTAGAGCTGTGGAACCTCAGATGCTCAGAGAGAGCAAGTGATTCGTTCAGGGTTGCCCAGCTAAAGCCAGGCTGCATGGATGAGGGTGAGAAATGCCTGGGGTAAAGGGGCTGAGGCCTAGAGACAGGAAGGATGCCTAGAAACTGCTCCGGAGTAGGCTAATTAGGGTGGGAGATTCTTTGGTGAATGAAAAGACCCCAAGCAACAGGCTGGGTCCCAGGAAGCTCACGTAAGTCTGGGGTAAGTTTGGCCAAAGCACCTCGTGCCAGCTGTGTGTGTGTCCCATCCCCCCCGCCCCACGCTCCACAGCTCTGCCCCAACAGGAGGGGGAGGGCCTCTCAGGGCTATGCCAGGAATGCAGTTGCAGCAGGGCTGGGCAGGGGGAAAGGGCAGCCGGCTCCCAGAGGGTGGGTGGAAGGGCAAGTGTGCCGCCAGCTGGGGAGGGGGCCTCCTCTCTCTCCCACCCACTGGCCGGGTCCACCTCCTCCCGGGCTGCACGGGGGCCAGGCGGCACAGAACTCCTTCCAGATGCAGGACCAGCAAGCGGGGAGGGCATCTGCTTCTCCCCAGAAGAAGCGAATGTAGGGAGAGGGGGCAGCTGCTCTGTGCCAGCAGCTCCTCCCACGACCACAGCCATGAGCGAAGGCAATTGTTTAAAGAAATGTCCACTCATATAGCTCCAGGGCAGAGTTCTGAGCCAGGAAGGCAGAGATGGGCTTCCAACCAGTGGGGTCCAGTAAGGAGGGGAGTGAGGACAAGAAGCTTGATAAGAATCCTCAGACACTGTTTCTGCATCCTTGTCATGGGCTTAGACTGTGTCTGTTTTCCTTTACAAGCCATGATTTTGAGAACTGCGGCCTGCAGCGACCTCACTTTACAGACAGGGAGACAGGTCAGATGCTCAGCTGTACACGCTTGGGGTGAGACCTGCACACGAGTCTGTCCTGCTCCAGAACCCAAGGTCCCTAACCCAGGGCCAGGAGGCCTCCTATCAGCTGGTCCCGGACCTCCACGGCTATGAACTCCCAGCACAGAGGCTGTGAGGGGCCCAGCAGGGTGTCTAGTGTGGGGGCCTGTGGGGGCTCTTGGTCACCTTGCAGGGGCAGCTGCAGGCCACCTTGTGCAGTCCAACTGGGGGCCCCTACACCATAGTCCACCCGCCCCTTCCTGCACCCAGGGGAGGTGGCCTCAGGCCCCCCACCCCGTGAGGTTCAGAGAGATAAGAGTGGACAGGGAGCAGTGGGCGAAGGGGCTGAGGCCTAGAGGCAGAGGAAGGATGGCCATGCACCATGTAAGAAGCCAGTGTGACCTAAGTCCTTGGGACGAAAGCACAGCCCCAGTCTGCTCATCCTAACACGAGAGGCTGGCCTTGCACAGGCAGCTCACTTCTGGATACCCCCTTTGTACACTTCGCCGGATGGCGCTGACAACCCCACAGGATCCTCCATCCCACTGAGGGAGAAGCAGACCAGAGCTGTCTGCGGTCACCCAGTGGCATCCCCAGCGCCCAGCCTGCTCATCCACTGACTTCGCACGGATACAGAGGGCGGTTTCTCCCTGGGGAATTGGGGGTGGGTATTTTTGAGTACTCCTGAGCTTTTTGGAAGAGTGGCTAGGAGCTCTGGGCAAGGGGGCGATCAGGAAGAAAACCCTAGACCCTGGCCTGGCAAAGATGGTCTTCGGGAGGTCCCTGTTGACCCCTTTGGGCAGCCAGACCCTCCAGACACTTACTCTGGGGAGGATCAAGGGGACCCAAGGGAACGGGGGCGGGGGCAGGATGCTGGGAGGTGAGCCAGGGCCGCACCCACAGGGACGAGGTTGGCCCTCCCCAGAGGCGGGCCGGCCAAGAAGGCCCTGGTTCTGATCCAGGAGCTCTTTTTGTGAGTTCTCAGTGACTTAACTGAAGGTTCCAAAAAGTTAAACCCACATGGCCAACATCAACATCTGTCAGGCCCTGAGGATGCTCGGAGCAGCCCCAATGCTAATGTGTGTGTGTGGTGTGTGTGTATGTGTGTGTACATGTGCGTGGTGTGTGTGTGTACATGTGTGTGTGTGTAGTGTGCACATGTGCCAAGGTGGCTTTGAGAGCCCACCCTTGCATTTGTTTTGTGACACACCTGGCTGGATAATTCTACCTGTCTCTTAGGGGACAGAGTGGTTCGCATCCTCTGGGGCTTCTGCTGGTGTCTGGCTTGGCCTGAGACACAAGAAGGGGAAGGGGAGGTGGCAGAACTTTGGGGATGCCTCCCTCTCCCCTGCTCAGCCTCTTCCCTCCCTTATGCCACCCCTTCTCCCAGTCACAGTCTCTGGGACACATGGAGGGGTGCTGGGCAGGGAAGCGGGGGCCGTCAGTAAGCACTGGCCGTGCTAAGCTCACCAGCAGACTGGCTCTGGGCAAGAGGCTTATGCTCTTCCTCATTAGTTAAAGCAGGATCTGATCATTGCATCTCTTCTACTTTCTAGAGGACTAAATCAGATGATATATTTAAAGCGTTTGGCCTACAGTGTCTGGCGCATGGTAGAGCTCAAGTGTTAATTTGGCCCTAACTCCCATGCCCGGGGCGATTTGGGCAGGAATTTCTGCAAACCCTTCTAATCACACCAGTTTCATCTGGTTCCAGCCAGCTGGTCCCCAAAGTGGTCAGGGTGGAGGAGGCTGCCAGGGCAGCGCTCTGACATGGACACAGTGAAGCAGTGGAAAGAGACAGTGGGACAAATAGGACAGGTGTGCCCAGAAGCCAGGAGCGGGGGCGGCTTCCACCGCAAGCACTGGGGCAAGCCCCTGGCTGGCTGGGTCCCAGGACGCAGGGGGACATGTAGGGCGCAGTGTGGGGTGCAGGGCTGCCACCTGGTTTCTCGTCCCACGAGGAGGCCTCAGGAGGACGCGCCCCACAGCAGGACATCTCTCCAGCCCTGGTCAGCTCTCTCAATCAGCTCTCTCCTTAGAAGATTATCCTTCCAACCTTCAACCCCTAAGCCAAGCCCACCAAGGTCGGCCCCAAACCCCTCTTCACGGCTCCTTTCGGCTCCATCCACTGGCCCTGAGCCCGGAGCTGGACCCGCCGCAGCTCACTCCCGGGTCATGCCCTCGTCCCCACACTGTCCTCGCCTGCCACTGCAGCTCCTTCTCCAGGATCCTAACTCCACAGCATCTAGGGGCCTTGTCTCATTCAAGCTGGCTGTCTTCCCTTGCAGAAAAAGCCCAAGTCCCCAAAGCTTCCAGAGAAGTCAGCCATTTGTACCAAGACCCCCCAGCCTCGGCCCTTGGCCTCAAGCAATTGTAGCCAAGCCCAGGTATCGAGGTCAGGACGCCAGGTTCTGGCGAGCCCTCTGCGGGGTGCGCTGTGTGGCCCGGTCTGGCCTTGGCCCTCACTGGCCTTTGATTTCCCTCTTGGTTATGTGCCTCTTGAAGGGGAAGGGCACAGAACAGCCTTGGCCTCTCTGGGAGAGCACTAACTCGTGTCTTTGCGACAGGCGGACAGGGTCCATCGGAGGCGGTGGCAATTCTCAAAGGACAGATGTCGTCCCCGAGTTCCTGGGGTCAGGGCCTCAGGAGTCCTGGCCAAAGGTCCCAGCAAACAGTAAGCTTCCTGGAGTCTCCGGTCACTCCTCTGGTCACTTGTGTTCTTTGGGAGTGCTTCTTGCTCACCAGGCTGCAAGCCTGGGGGCAGGGCCTGTCCTGTTTGTCTCTTGTCCCAGTATCCAGCACAGGCAGGCGACATTTATGAATATACACACTTGTGTCTCTTCCAGGAGGAAATGGCAAAGAGGCGTGGGGACAGTCTTACGACCCAGGTTGGACGGAAATGGCTCTCACATCTGTTCCCTCCAGAGCCCCGGCCCCACCTCCACTGAGCGGCTCCACTTCCGCCTCGGAGCGCTCAGCACTCCCCCAACCAACAAGTGGGGCCTGCCCAACCCTGGCAAGACGCTGGCCTCTGAACGCCAAGAGACGTGTGTCACCGGGCTCTGCAGACAGAGCTTGCAGATAGCTCCAGCTTTGTCCCCACCTGTCCCAAGCTGGTGACCCTTGCCGGTGACTGTGCCGATGCCTGGGTAGCTGTGCCTTGCGCGTAACTTAAACTGGGCAGGCCCGGGCCCGCCGACCCCGCACTGTGCTCTTCTTGGCTTCAGAGGTCCTTGTGGGGACGCTCCCTCTGGGGTGTTTGAGGCCTGGCTCTGCGCAGACCTCCTCGTGCATAGCTTTCCTGCACCCACCGCAGCCTTGGTTGTGCTTGTCCTGCCCAGGTCATGCGTGTGCGCTGTGGGCACCTGCTTCCCGTCTTCGTCTTCCGTGGACAAACGTCGTGCATGACCACAGCCTTTGACTCCACGCACCCTCTCCTTGGCCCCAGGAGCCCTGATCATCACCCCACCCCATCCCGTGCCAGTTACCTTGTCCCAATCCACCACTTTGAGCTTGGGTTCCATCGCCAGATCTGTCTTCTGAGTGTTCGCAAAGGCTGCAGCCCCATTCTCCACAGAACCCTGGAGAGAGACAGCGATGAGGGGATTATTTACAGCGGGTGAGGGCAGAGAGCCGCAAGCCACCCCATGACGAGGCAGCCAGGAGTGGTGAGAGCCTCATGGTGGGGGAGGATGGGCGAAGGTCAAGGACCCTGAGTGCATTTGAAAACAGGTAGATACTGTTGTGGGAGACGTTATTTTCTACATTTTTCTTCTCCCTTAAAAAATAATTTCTGCAAAGACGAGAGGCAGAAAGATCTGGGAGAGAAAAGAAGCTGGCAATGAGACTGTAGGAGAATTAGCTATTAGTGGGAATGCTCTGGGCAAGGAGGTCCCTGCCAGTCCCTCCAGGGCCCTGGCAGGTGTTAGGCAGAGGGAGTCACGGGGAGTCGCCTGGCGAGCTCACTGTGCCACACCCGATGACGATCACATCCTCTCCGTCCCTGGTGATTCCACAGAGTCCATGGGTCACAGGCTGGGCCATCTAGGTCCACGTGCGCACAAGAAAGGCAGGCAGCAGGGAGCACGGGAGACGGCCCCCCTGGGAACTCCCGTGCAGCCGCACATAGGGTGGAACTGGCAGAGCCCACACGGGCTCAAGGTTAAATCACGCCAGCAAAGAGGCAAAGTCAGAAGGACATGGAATGTGCTGGGAGGATCACGTGGCCCCAGCTGGCCCTGACAGCACATGAGGCTGGAGAGGGTGGGCTGGCACGTAGGTGACATTCGTGCTTCCTTGCAGGAAGGCTGGTAGAGCACTTGCCACTGGCGGCGAAGGGCGGGGGAGCGGGCGTTGGGGCTGCCCTCTGAGTCCCCGTGACTAAAGGACACTGGTGCTTGTGGCCATAGAGGAGGCCTTGGAAGCTGGGTATCAACAAGAACCCAAGAAGACTGTTTGGGCGGCCGGTTGGGGTTGCGACCGCCACGATTCTTACATTTTTTGCTTCCAAATGAGAAGCCGATGGTGACAGTGATGCTGACATTTTCTGGGAAAACCCATGTGTTACCCAAATAAAAGCTGGCTTTCATGGGCCTGTCTTAGTCTAAGTATCTCAGTATTTTTAGTCTTTGTCACCTTGCTAATACCTGCATTCTTTAGAAAAGCATCTCTGATGATTTCTTAAGGACAAAGAAGAGGAAACTTTATCGCATATCATACAGTGAAACTCCCTAAGTAGCCAATATAAATCTTATATAATAATCTTGCCCCTTCTAATTCTGTTCCACCCTCAAAATATCCCGGAGTGTCTCCAGTCATCCAGCTATTGTCTCTCCCTCCCTCCTGGATAGTTATTTTCTCCTGGTTGCCTAGGTAGTGTGGTCCATTCCTTCTCCTGGCTCCTTAAACCCACTCGTTGCGGCTCCATTGTCTCTCTCAACAAAATAAAAGCTTCATCTTGGGGTCTGCCATCTAAACAGGGGTGGGGTTATCACGCGTATTGTCACCGAGTGATTTTGTCTGTGTCGCCCTTTTCAGACATCCCTGAGTGGCAGACACAGGTCTGTTCTGGGCACATCCGCAGAAACCGCCTCTGGAAGCAGGAGGAAGGATCACTGCCTCCCGCACTGGGCGCGAAGCGCCCGTCCGTCTGGCCTGTGCCTCCGCCGCCTCCAGTGCGGACCTTTTTCTGAGAACTCCAGTCCTTGGGGAAGTCTCCCTTCCACTCGGCTGGCTGCCTTAGGTCTCCAGGGATCACTACTGGTTTTTTTTTTTCCCTCTAGGACTGTACAGGCTCTTTCTCTTTCACCTGGCAGACTTATATATATTTGAGGACATCCAGTACCCCACCCCCTGCCATGTACTTTCCCCCAAGTCCCTCTTAGGACACGACAGGGTCTCTAAGTATTACGGTTTGATCCATGTTCCACTCCTGAAGCCGCTCTGATGGGACCAGTGCAGAAGCCAGAAGGGCCCGCACTGCCCTCATGTGCAACATCATATTTCAGGTCACGGGAACTCAGCTCCCATCCGCTCTTTTGGCTACCACACTACGAGGCTCCTTCATTTAGCATATGGCCACCCTGAAGATTATTTCATGGACTACTGCTGTTGGTGTGGTGCGGAGAGCTGGTGTGATCCAGGAGGTGATGTAGACCAGCAGATCTATTCACTGGAGGACCACAAAAGATGTATGGAGACCTCGACACCCAGAGTAGTGATGAATGGGAAAGCAGTAGGCAGTAGAAAGCAGAGAAAGCCTGAAAAATGGATCATCAAGGGGAGTCTGCAGAGACAGGAAGCCCTGGCTCCATATCAGCCTCCTCTTCAGGGGCTGGTGGTCTCGGTGAAGCACCACCATGGCCACCCCCTCTTCTCTCAATTATCCCCTCCTATAAGGACCTCATCCAGAGCCACTGCCTTCATCCACTCATCCAGGCACACACATTTGAGCATCTGTAATGTGCCAGAGCCTCAGCTCAGAAGACTCTCCCACATCTCTCTCTCTGACACTAGCCCCGCTCCTCACCCCTGGAGAATGTTTCCAACTGCCCACATCATAGCCTGACCCAAAAGCCCTGCTGTCACCTCTGACACCACATTCCTAAAAGCGAACATAGTATTGTCCTCTGCAAACTGCCTTATCGCTGACTTCCCTGTATTTAAAGTCTTTCCCCTGTATTTCTAAACACCTCCCTTGCGATGCCCTTGGATTAACCCTAATGTTTCCCTCTAGCTAGCAGGGATCATTTGCCATTTTCTAAACACGCCTTGCATTTTCCTTCTCAAATGTCACCCTGTCCAGGATGATGACAGAGGTTAATATTCATAGCTGTTTACTATGTGCTCAGCCCTTTAATCTTCATAACAACTATGAGAAGTAGGCACGATTATTATTCCCACTTGACAGGTGAGGGGACCTAGGCACGGGCAGTCTCGCAGCTAGTGAGAGGTGGAGCCAGCAACTGGACTCCAGAATATTCTCTCGATCCCCATGCACTTCCCTAACCATTCTAGCTAGCAATGATCTCTTCATTTTCCAACTTTTAGAAAATCATAACTTTCCATGTGTTCCACTGCCTCAGTTGGTATTTATAATCTCCTGCCTCTTGTCACATTTGGAAAATTATCCTATTTGTCCCATGGTGTGACAGATGCCAATAGGGCAGGAAACTACTGCTTCCTCTTCTTGGGCTGCCGAGGAGAGGCCCTTGATACCATGAGATGCTCCATTTGTATTTCCTGAGTGGATCATATTTCAATGCCGGTTCTCTGCAGAATAGCCAAGGCCTCCTGAGACTCCTGCAGGGCTGTGGGCCTGGCTCTGCGGACAACGCTCTGAAGCTCTGCAGGGCACATGCTCCTTGGAAATGTAAAACGAATGGAGTGAGCACATCTGCTTAGATGAGAGAGGTGGCCCAGGAGACTGAACACACCATCTGGGAGTGTCAGTCTTGGTTGGATAGGACAGCGCTCAGATACAAGGGTCGAAATTCCAATAATGTGGGCCATATATTCTCAGTGCCCTTTGGCTGGGTACACAGGGTAGACACGAACAGACTGATATGAGATGGCCAGCATTTTATTTTGCCAGATAAAACGACTTTTAAAATTACCATCAGCAGCATTTCGTAAATAAAAGGACATTTTCAATACCAAACAGGTAGGAAATGCACACTTTCAGAGTAAAAGCTGGTTCTTCCCAAAGAAGGGCTGTTGGTAATTTTACACTGACATTTAAAAAAAAAAAAAAATAGGTTCTAATTGAAAATATTTATGAATGTAGAAAAATTACAACCTAAAATTTTGGGAGCGTGAACTGTACGGAACTGTTCTCTTTGATTAGGGTGGTTGGTGGAGGGCTCTCTAACCCATGGGTAACAGGAAGTAGATCAAACGTGCACTTTGTTCCAGTTCTAAGGTTTTACTTTAAAACCCACGAAAAATCCAGTTTGGTAGAGAGATGTTGGCTAAAAATGGAAACAGTACTTTTATTCAACTGGAAACATTGCAGGTAAAGTGAGGGAGCGGAGACACCTGTGTCTCTCTGCCGCCTTCCTGAGAGCCGGGAGGGAGGGAGGCCCACAGGCCGTGGTCCCCAGCCTGGGGCAGGAAGGGATGCTCTCAAGACAGTTCCCCTGAATCGTGGACCAGCCTCGCTGGGGGCGCGCTGCCCCTGAAGGACGAGGAAAAGAAGGGAGGAAGGGAGGGAAGTGGGAGCTGTTTCCTCCTGTCCATCTCCTCCTTCCCTCTTAACCGCAATTTGAGAGTCCTGGAGCCACCAGGTGGTAATGTCATCGGTGATAGGCGTTTGGCAAAGAAACCCGAGAATGATGATATAAGCAAGGTGCTTTCTGGGTGGCCTCCCTGGGACCACAGTCTCCCTGGCAGAAGCCCAGGTTATCAATCACAAGACTGCACACACCTCCAATACAGGAGGAGACTTCAAGGAGAGCCAGAACAAGCAGCACGTCCGCACGGCCAGGAGCAGAAATACCCGCAGGGGCAAGGAAGTGTCCTCTACTGCGTCATTCATTGAGCATGTTTCTCGAGTCTGGGTGTGAGATTTCAAAAGATCTGAAAAACCAGCTCCCCATGCAGACGGGACAAAGAGCCTCCCAAAGAAGCTCTCCTATTCCCACTTGGGGGGCTGCTTACATCCGAAGCTGGAGGGCAGGGGGTTCCAGAACTGAGTCTCGCTGGGAGCCGCTGCGCCACACACACTGATCTGGGCCGCGTTTTCCAGACTGCCATGCCCAGTGTTTATTTTTATAGTTGAGCCGGGCTCACCCTTGAATTCCACAGGCAAACAGCATGCATGAATCAGATGTGTGTAAAGGTCATTCCTGGGAACGAGGGTACAACTCAAGCTTTAAAAGACTTTGAAAACAAAAGTTTCTTGGAAACTTCCATCACACGTTATTTAAAAGGCTCTCCTGATCCTGGCAGCAAGCCAAAGGAAGCTTTAAAACCCAAAAAGCATCAAAAGTGAAGAACATGTGGGCTCTTTTCCAGCATTTTAAAATTATTCTGGGTGATGCCTTCAGATTCAATAAGTTTCAGGATTTTGGTAAGGGAAGTG